TAAAACTATTCAAAGTGATCAAGGTACTAACTTTACTGCCAAGGCATTTAGGGAAATATTAACTAGGTTAGGGATAATCCACAACTTATCCACTGCCTATCATCCTCAGTCCCAAGGCGCCTTGGAAAGATTCCATCAGACATTAAAAACAATGATGAGAACTTTTTGCATGCACTTTCCTACAGACTGGGATGAATCACTACCTTTGTTGCTGTTCTCAGTACGAGAGACGGTGCAAGAGTCTACAGGGTATAGTCCGTTTGAGCTGATCTTTGGGCACAATGTACGAGGTCCTCTTCGGGTGATCAAAGAAGGATGGATGGGAGAAGACGTTAGCTCAACACTCTACAACCCGTCATCAAGGTTGCAGGTGGCACGTCAGTTAGCCAAGGCTAACCTAAAGACAGCTCAAAGTAAGATGAAACAGAGGTATGACAGAAGTGCACAATTCCGCTCCTTCCATCCAGGAGACAAGGTGTTGGTGCAGGAACCTATACCTGGCCACACCTTGAAAGCTAGATTTACGGGACCTATGCAGATTGTAAGTAGATTATCTGATGTAAATTATGTGTAGCTCTCAAAAACTAAAACTTACCACATTAATCAATTAAAATATTTCCATACACCAGATAAAGTCCCAGTAATGACTCTGTCCTCTACCTCTGAGGACAACTCTGACTCTTTGCACTCTATCTCTGAAATTAATATTAAACTTTCAAATTCTGTCCTCCTCAAGGATCCTAGCCCTTTAATGGAGGGATTATCTGAAATGCAAGCAACAAATTTAACGGAGCTTCTACAGTCATATCCTAATATTTTTTTCGGATGTGCCGAAAAAATGTATGTTAGGTTATCATGATGTAGATGTGGGAAACTCTAAACCAATTAAACTCTCCCCCTACAGAGCTAATCCTGAAAAGCAAAGGCTACTTCAGCAGGAAGTAGACTTCTTGTTAGAACATGGTTTAGTGGAGGAGTCATCTAGTCCATGGGCTTCACCGTGCATCCTTGTGAAGAAGGCTGATGGAGGGTTTCGTATGTGTACAGACTACCGTAAGGTGAACGAGGTCATCATTACAGATGCTTACCCTCTTCCTCGTCTGGATGACGTAATTGACTTTGTGGGTAAGGCTACTTTTGTATCCAAATTAGATCTCCTTAAAGGTTACTATCAGGTACCTTTGACGGATAAGGCGAAGGAAATCTCTGCCTTCGTAATTCCAGGAGGTCATTATCAATATACAGTTACCCCCTTCGGAATAAAAAATTCCCCCTCTTCATTCCAGAAACTTATCCATCAGGCTATTAAAGGACTTGAAGGCATGGCAGCCTACCTAGATGATATTGTTGTGGTGTCTGATACTTGGGATCAACACCTACTTAGACTTAAGGCTCTTTTTGAGACCTTTAAGAGTTCCCATTTAACAGTTAATTTATCTAAATCTTCCTTTGGCCAGGCCACTGTCACTTTTCTAGGCCATGAAGTAGGTAGTGGTAAAGTTGCACCTAAACTTGCTAAAGTTCTTGCTATTAAAGATTATCCAGTTTCTAATGATAGGAAATCTCTTCAACGTTTCCTAGGCATGTTAGGATTTTACAGAAGATTCTGTAAGAATTTCTCAGATATTGTAGCCCCTCTTACCTCTCTTACCAATCACAAAGTTCCCTTTATTTGGACCCCATATTGTCAACTTCTTTTGACAAAGCAAAAAGAATATTGTGTACTGCACCCATTCTCTTGTCTCCAGACTTCTCCAAACCTTTTTCATTACAGGTTGATGCTTGTGAGTCTGGGGTTGGGGCAGTACTATTACAAAACGAGAATGAGGAGTTGCAGCCTGTGGCATACTTTTCAGCCAAGTTCCAGCCACATCAGAGGGCTTACTCTACCATTGAAAAAGAAGCCATCGCGCTGGTACTGTCTTTGGAGCATTTCGATGTTTATGTGGGCCAGACATCGCAGGTGGTCACAGTCTACAGTGATCACAATCCTCTAGTACATCTCCAAGCCATGAAGAACCACAACACAAGGCTCATGCGCTGGACGCTAAGACTGCAACCATACTCGCTCAGAATTAAATATATTGCCGGCAAATGTGTTGGCGGACTCTTTATCTAGAGTTTATTTTTTTTTTTTTACATAGGTTAGGATGTTAGGTTACTTGTGGTAACCCCTTGTAAGCTCTTTTTTTTTAATCCCCTGGTGTGGGGCTTGTTTTTTAGTGAGGGGATGCGGGCTACCGTCCGCCTGTATCTTGGACCTATGCTAGCCTGACTGACTGCTGTCTCACTCTAAGTTTAATCACCACCACCAGATGTAGACCAAACGAAATGTAAACTTTGCCAGATGGATTATTGTCACACCCTGCGTCATTATGTACTGGAGTGTGATAAAATTAATGAATTTAGAAACAACTCACTCAGAAGTGTTCAAGAAATGGCTAAGTATTTTATCCACAGTGGTATATTACAGACCATTCTGGAGAAATACCCTGACTTTGCTAGCTGTAAATAATGCATTACCACATGTGTGCATGTGTGTGTGTGTGTGTGTGTGTGTGTGTGTGTGTGTGTGTGTGTGTGTGTGTGTTTATGTGTGTGTGTGTATGAATTTGTATGTGTGTGTGTGTGTGTGTGTCTGTGTGAGAGAGAGACTCAACAATCAACATTTGCACCAATAACTCACTACAGTTGTGACCGGGTGTGGAAGTGTGAATTGCTCATTACTCTAAAATTTGTTCATGATTGCAGCCATGAATAAACGTAAGTAACCATTCTTACAGTATTCATTACCTTTGTAACTTGTGAGTTCATTACCTTTGTAACTTGTGAGTTCATTACCTTGTACCTAGTTCAGTCATCAAAACTTTGGAGCCCGGTCCCTGGACCCATTGTGTACCTCTGTAATCTGTAAATACCTTTGTAACTTGTCATGATTGTGACTAGACCTACCTGGAGTTCATTACCTTTGTAAATTGTGAGTTCATTACCTTTGTAAATTGTGAATTCATTACCTCTGTAACTTGCTCAGCTATCAAAACTTTGAGGCCCAGTCCCTGGACCAATTATGTACCTCTGTAATCTTTTGACTACCACCCACAGGATGGGTATGGGGTGCATAATAAACATATTAAACTAACTAACTCTAAGTTTAGGGTTTGGCTTTCGGTCACGAGAAAAGCTGAGCTCTAAGAGTTGGATGGTGGAGAGGAAAGGCGGTCCCATTATTTTGTGCCATGGCGGCACGGTTACCACTGGGAGGTGGCAGCCTAATCCTGAGCCTTCTCGGGGTGGGGGTGTGGCATGCAAAGAGTACGTAACCTTTATTCGGCGCATGTACACACCCTCATTTACAGGCTATCTCCCCCAACCAGCGAACCAGGTTGCTAAGAGTTGATGATGGGACCCCGTCGTTCAACTAGTGACCAGGTTCTAGCCAATAAGAAGATGGTTTTGGCAATCGCAGAGGTTATGTGGGTACCACTCTCCTGTCTGCCCTTGTCATTCCCATTCTAGAGCTGGTTGAAGCACGGTCTGCTATCTTGTGGCTTCTATTCTGCCTTGCTTACCGTGGAGTGCACTATACTTATCACTGTACATAGTGTACATATTGCTGTTCTAAATTGGTGAAGGATAATATAAGTCTAAACTTTTTCTGCTGTGTTTATTTTGCTCCCATTACACCCGGGATAGCAGGCCATTTGGAATCCTGGGTTGTAATAACCACCACCACTACTACCACCACTATTACTACCACCACCACCACTACTACTACCACCACTACCACCACCATTACCACCACTACTACTACCACCACTACCACCACCATTACCACCACTACTACCACCACCACTATTACCACCACCACTACTACCACCACCACTATTACCACCACTAAATACCACCACCTTCTACCACTACTACCACTACTACCACCACTACTACTACTACCACCACTTCTACCACCACTTCTACCACCACTACTACCACCCCTTCTACCACCACTACTACCACCACTACCACCACCACTTCTACCACCACTACCACCACCACTACCACCACCACTTCTACCACCACTGCTACCACCACTACCACCACCACTTCTACCACCACTACTACCACCACTACTACCACCACTACCACCACTTCTACCACTACTACCACCACTACCACCACCACTTCTACCACTACTACCACCACTTCTACCACTACCACCACTACTACCACCACTACTACTACCACTACTACTACCACTGCTACCACCAATACTACCACCACTACTACCACCACCAATACTACCACCACTACTACCACCACCAATACTACCACCACTACTACCACCACCAATACCACCACCAATACCACCACTACTACTACCACCACCAATACCACCACCACTACCACCACCAATACCACCATCACTACACATCTACTACCACCACTACTACCACCACCACTTCTACCACCACTACTACCACCACTACTACCACCACTGCTACCACCAATACCACCACTACTACCACCACTGCTACCACCCTACTACCACTACTACCACCACCACTACCACCACTACTGCCACCACTGACCACCACCAATACCTCTCATCCACCCCACCACCACCACTACCCCCTCTACCACCCTCACCACCACCAACACCCGAACATTACAACAAACCCCCTCTACCACCCCTACCACCCACCAACACCCCCACTAACACTCTCCACCACCACCACTACCACCACTACTACCACCACTACTACCACCATTAACTACTTCCACCACTACCACCACCAACACCCCCTCTACCACACCACTACCACCACCACTACCCCTCAACCACCCTCACCACCACCAACACCCCAACACCACAACAACCCCCTCTACCACCCTTACCACGCACCCACACCCCCACTAACACTGTCCACCCCCTCCCCCACCACTACCACCACCAGCACTACCACCACCACCCCCACCACAACCAGCACCCCCACTGGTCCGCCTTGCTGGTGGCCTCACCAGAATTAAACCACCAAAATATTTCGCGATCGCCTCTCACACTCTCTCCACCTCCTTAATAACATCAACCTGCACATATAGAGCTCTCCTGATAACTCTACCATACAAATCCGCTTACCAGGAGCTCCGGATAAGAGAGAAACTAGTCTTAAAAGCCAGGAATGTTAGCAGTGTTGGAGGTGTGTTGGAGAGAGTCAGGGTAGTGTGTGTTAAGCAGTGACAGTGTACCCACGCCTCTATCTCTACCTCCTCTCTCTATATAGAGCCTTGCAGGGCGTGTTGCACCCTGTTGCAGAGTGTTGCAGTGTAGACAACCCCAGTGTAGTCTTAACAACCCCATATAACCCCGTAAACCCAGGTAAATACCAGTGGAGGGTAACAATCAACCCCCACCAACCACAACCCTAGTGATATAAGGACTGTCTTTGCCCTCATCTTTCTTAAACAACTCTCAACTCATCTCTTAAGGTAAGTCAACTGATTTGTTAACAAATCTGACTCAGAATTATGATTTAAATGTGTTTTATTAAGGTATTTGTGGTGAACGTTGTCTGCTGCTGCTGCTGCTTGTTTACTGGTTGTCTGCTGCTGCTGCTGCTTGTTTACTGGTTGTCTGCTGCTGCTTGTTTACTGGTTGCTGCTGCTCCTTGTTTACTGGTTGTCTGCTGCTGCTCCTTGTTTACTGGTTGTCTGCTGCTGCTGCTGCTTGTTTACTGGTTGTCTGCTGCTGCTGCTGCTTGTTTACTGGTTGTCTGCTGCTGCTGCTGCTTGTTTACTGGTTGTCTGCTGCTGCTGCGCTTGTTTACTGGTTGTCTGCTGCTGCTCCTTGTTTACTGGTTGTCTGCTGCTGCTGCTGCTTGTTTACTGGTTGTCTGCTGCTGCTGCTGCTTGTTTACTGGTTGTCTGCTGCTGCTTGTTTACTGGTTGTCTGCTGCTGCTCCTTGTTTACTGGTCTGCTGCTGCTCCTTGTTTACTGGTCTGCTGCTGCTGCTGCTGCTTGTTTACTGGTTGTCTGCTGCTGCTGCTCCTTGTTTACTGGTTGTCTGCTGCTCCTTGTTTACTGGTCTGCTGCTGCTTGTTTACTGGTTGTCTGCTGCTGCTTGTTTACTGGTTGTCTGCTGCTCCTTGTTTACTGGTTGTCTGCTGCTGCTGCTCCTTGTTTACTGGTCTGCTGCTGCTTGTTTACTGGTTGTCTGCTGCTGCTTGTTTACTGGTTGTCTGCTGCTCCTTGTTTACTGGTTGTCTGCTGCTGATGCTCCTTGTTTACTGGTTGTCTGCTCCCGCTGCTCCTTGTTTACTGGTTGTCTGCTGCTGCTGCTGCTCCTTGTTTACTGGTTGTCTGCTGCTGCTCCTTGTTTACTGGTTGTCTGCTGCTGCTCCTTGTTTACTGGTTGTCTGCTGCTGCTCCTTGTTTACTGGTTGTCTGCTGCTGCTGCTCCTTGTTTACTGGTCTGCTGCTGCTTGTTTACTGGTTGTCTGCTGCTGCTTGTTTACTGGTTGTCTGCTGCTGCTGCTCCTTGTTTACTGGTTGTCTGCTGCCTCTGCTCCTTGTTTACTGGTTGTCTGCTGCTGCTGCCAGACTCTTGTATTATACAACAGTCTCACTTGTTTATCTTGTATTAAGAACATAAGAAAGAAGGAACACTGCAGCAGGCCTACTGGCCCATGCAAGGCAGGTCCAAGTCTCCTACCGGCTTAAGCCAATGCACCCAACCTAGTCAGGTCAGGTCACCTTCACTTAAGGAAGGAACATGACAACAGACCTGTAGCACAAGCTATCAGGTCCAACTCACACCCACCCACATCCACTCATGTATTTATCCAACCTATTTTTAAAGCTATACAACGTTGTGGCCTCTATAACTGTACTCGGGAGTTTGTTCCACTCATCCACAACTCTATTACCAAACCAGTACTTTCCTATATCCTTCCTGAATCTGAATTTTTCCAACTTAAAACCATTGCTGCGAGTCCTGTCTTGGCTGGAAATTTTCAGCACACTATTTACATCCCCTTTATTTATTCCTGTTTTCCATTTATACACCTCAATCATATCTCCCCTAATTCTACGCCTTTCGAGAGAGTGCAGATTCAGGGCCTCAGTCTATCCTCATAGGGAAGATTTCTGGTACATGGGATCAACTTTGTCATCCTCCTTCGTATGTTTTCCAGAGCATTTATATCCATTCTGTAATACGGTGACCATAGTTCTACTAGTACCAGTACTAGTACGAGTACTAGCACAAGTACTAGCACCATTCTGTAATACGGTGACCAGAACTGAGCAGTATAGTCTAAATGAGACCTAACCAAGGATATATAGAGTTGAAGAACAACCTGAGGACTCCTATTATTTATACTTCTTGATATGAAGCCAAGGATTCTATTAGCTTTATTGCGAACACTTATGCACTGTTGTCTTGGTTTCAGATTACTGCTAACCAGAACTCCTAAATCTTTTTCGCAATCCGTAATATTAAGACAACTTATTTCGTTCAACATTGCCCGGGTTCTAGCCAATAAGAAGAGGTTTTGGCAATGCAGAGGTTATGTGGGAAACCACTCTCCTGTCTGCCCCTTTGTCTTTCCCCTTTAAGCGGGTTAAAGCCGGTTTTTGCTATCTTGTGGTTTTCTATTCTGCCTTGCTTACCGTGGACCCCCTTTTAACTTATCACTGAAACATAGTGTAATTTTTGCGGGTTTTTAAATTTGGGGTAAAGGAAAAAATATAATCAAAACTTTTTTCGGGCTGTGTTTATTTTGCCCCCTTAAACCCCCGGGGGGATAGCGGCCATTTGGAATCCGGGGTTTGGGAATAACCCCAAACCAAAAACAAAACCCCACTTTTTACTCCCCAACCCCAAAATATTTATTCCCACCACAACCCACCACCTTTTTACCCCCACTATTTACTACCCCCAATTTCCACCACCTTTACCCCCACTACTACCACCCCCACTATTACCACCACCATTTACTACCACCCCCAAATTTTACCCCCACTACTCCCAAACCACCATTTTCAAACCCTACTACCACTATTACCCACCACTACTTACTACCACCCTTTTTAACCCCCCATTTTCTCCCACCACAACTACCACCCCTTCTACCACCACTATACCACCACTACCCCCCCAAATTTTCTACCACCACACCACCACCACTACCCCCCACCACTTCCCTACCCCCCATTTGCTCCCAAACCACTCCCCAAACCACTTTTCCAAACCACTATTTCCACCAAACTACTACCCCCACTACCCCACTTCTACCAAAACTACCACCATTTACCACCACCACTTTACCACCTCCCCCCCAACCTTTCAAACCACTACCACCACTACTACCCCCACTACTATCCCAAATACAAACTACCACGGGCTACCCCCAAATACTACCACCACTACTACCACCAAAAAAATACTCCCCCCAACTACTACCACCACCAATATTTACCACCACTATTTACCACCACCAAAAACCAAACCCCCCAAATACCACCCTACTACTACCACCACCAAAAAACCAAACCCACCCCTACCACCCCCAATACCACCATCACTCCCAAAATCACTAAAAACCACAAACTACCACCCCCAAACCTTCTACCCCCCACTACTCCCACCAAAATACCACCACTGCTACCACCAATACCCCCCAAAACTACTACCCCCCAACTGCACCCCCATCAAACCAAAACTACTACCACCACCACTACCACCATTTACTGCCACCACTACCACCACCAATACCCCTCATCCCCCCCACCACCACTACCCCCTCAAAACCACCCTCCCACCCCCAAACCCACCCAAACCCTTTAAACAACAACCCCCTTTTCCACCCCTACCACCCCCCCAAACCCCCCCCACTAACACTCTCCACCCCCACCACAAACCACCACTACAAACCCCCACTATTTACCCCCAATTACTATTTCCCCCCAAACTACCACCACCAACCCCCCCCCCTCAAACCACACCACTACCACCACCACTACCCCTAAAACCACCCTCACCCCCCAAACCCAACCCCCCAAAACACCACAACAACCCCCTCAAACCACCCTTACCACGCCCCCCACACCCCCCCCTAACACGGGTCCACCCCCCCCCCACCACTCCCACCCCCCAGCACAAACCACCCCCCCACCCCCCACCAAAAAACCCGGGCCCCCCCACTGGTCCCCCTTTGTTTGGGGGCCCCTCCCCAAAATTTAAAACCCACCAAAATATTTCGGGGGATCGCCTCTCACACTCTCCCCAAACCCCCTTTTTAAAAAACATAAAACCTGCACATATAGACCCTCCCCTGATAACCTACCATACAAAATCCGCTTACCGGGACTCCGGATAAGGGGAAAAACTAGTTTAAAAAGCCAGGAATTTTTAAACAGTTTTTGGAGGTGTGTTTGGAAAAGAGTCGGGGTTGTGGTTTAAGCAGGACAGGTACCCACGCCTCTATCTCTACCTCCTCTCTCTTTTATAGAGCCTTGCAGGGGGTTTGTTGCCCCCTTTTGTTGAAAAGAGTGTTGCGGGTGTAGACAACCCCAGGGGTATCTTAAAAACCCATAAAACCCCCCTTTAAACCCAGGTAAATCCCCAGTGGAGGGAAACAATCAACCCCCCCCAAACCCCAACAACCCTATTTGGATATAAGGCTGTCTTTGCCCCCATCTTTCTTAAAAAAATTTCTCAATCTTCTCTTAAGGTAAGTAAACCCTGATTTTTTTAAACAAATCTGCCCTCAAAATTTTATAAATTTAAAAAATGTGTTTTATTAAGGTTTTGTGGTAAAACGTTGTCTGCTGCTGCGGGCTGCTTTTTACGGGGTTTGCCCTGCGGGTGCTGCTGCTTGTTTACTGGGGGGTTGTGCTGCTTGTTTACTGGTTGCTGCTGCTCCTTTTTTACTGGTTGCCTGCTGCTGCCCCTTTTGTTTACGGGTTTTGTCTGCTGCTGCTGCGGGCTTGTTTACTGGTTGTCCTGCTGCTGCTGTTGTTTTGTTTACGGGTTGTCTGCTGCTGCTGCGCTTGTTTAGGGTTTGGTCTGCTGCGCTGCTGCTTTTTTACTGGTTGTCTGCTGCGGGCCCCCTTGTTTACTGGTTGTCTGTTTGTTTGCTGCTGCTTTTTTCCCGGGGTTGGGTGCTGCTGCTGTGTTTTTTACGGTTTGTTTTGCTGCGCTTGTTTACGGGTTTTGTCGCTCCCGCTCCTTGTTTACGGGTTCTGCGGTGTTTCCTTGTTTCCCTGGTCTCTGCTGTGCTGCTGCTTGTTTGGGGGTTGTCTGCTGCGGCTGCTCCTTTTTTAACTGGTTTTTCTGCTGCCCCTTGTTTACTGGTTGCTGCTGCTTGTTTACTGGTTGTCTGCTGCCTGTTGTTTAGGGTTGTTGCTGTCCTTGTTTACTGGGTTGTTTTGCTGCTGTGTTTCCCTTGTTTACTGGTCTGTTTGGCTGTTGTTTACGGGTTTGGGT